CCGCGGATTTAAAACAAACCACTGTAAGATCGCATGTATTTTTGGTCCGCATGGGGATCCTATTGAGCGTAATACAGATCAAGTAGAGTGAATAACAGCGAAATATCAGCAGGTTCAGATTCTCATTAATACTCCTCATCAACAAGCTCTTAGCTGACCGAGAGTCCTTACGGTTATCCCTCGAATGCCGATAAGAGAACACTCAGGGGCCCTTCTAGCTGTAAATTACTCGGCCGCCTATTTCGTGGGCGCTGTACTCCAAACTGTCGCCAAGTCACTTGTCTGAGCTCAAGCAACGGTAGTTTCATCACTCATCTTGTCAATATAGCCGACCACTTGAATGCTTACTTTGCCAGCTGCTACCTATCTCCTTCTCCCAAGTTCAATCCTACAATTTCCGCCTCATACTCCACCTCTCTACAACAGAGTAACCGCCCGTCTCTGAGCAGCTTGACCACCTCCCTAGCAGATGTAGCAACCCTTCTTCAAACCCTCAAAGACTCCGCCGCGCCGGAAGGCGACGGTATACCGTCGCGTGTCCTGAGATATGGCGGTCAAGATGTCAAAACCCTTGTCCTAAATCTTTTTACTCACTCAGTAAACTCTGGAATCGTCCCCTCTCAATGGAAACAATCTGTCGTTCGCCCCCATTTTAAATCCGGATCCAGGCAAACTGCTTCAAATTACAGAGGGATCCACCATACTCCTCTTTTAATGCGAACCCTCGAACGTCTGGTAAAAGGCCCTTTAATCAGGTTTCTCCTAGCTACAAACGCCATAGATGATCGACAGTATGGATTCCTATCTCAGAGATCCGTAAACGGCTGCCAGCTTCACTTTTTTGAGACCATCACAGCAGCTTACGACGCTGGATACGCCATAGTAACAGTCTATCTAGACATCCAAAAAGCCTTCGACCAGGTCCCCCACGCCTCCCTGCTACACAAACTTAGCACCGTTGGCATCACGGGAACCTTATTTCAGTGGTTTGCCTCCTATTTATCAGACAGGAAGCAAATAACGCAAATAGGGGACATACAATCATCTCCACTACCGATCACTAGCGGAGTCATCCAAGGAAGCGTGCTAGGCCCCATCCTTTTCTTACTATACATCAATGATGTCTTCGGCGCCATATCTCACGGTAAGGCCTTCCTCTTCGCGGACGATATAAAAATCGCGTACACATTCCCCACCTCTGCAAAAACCCTTGCCTTTCACCAGATTAAGCAAGACCTAGATTCACTGACTCGCTGGTCAAACAACTCTGGCCTTAGCTTCTCCTCCACAAAATCCTGTATAACTTCCTGCCGCTGCTCTCTCCCGGCTGATGCTTTCACAATTAATGGAAATCCTATTACTCATTCTACAGAGATCAAAGATCTCGGCCTCAGATACTCCTGTACTTTTAGCTTTTCCCACCAGGTGCAATTTCAGGTAGCAAGAGCGCGCAGGCTCAGTTTTTTAATACTGCGCTCCTGCCACCTTCCAGACACGATGGTCGCAATCTTTAAGCTATGCGTACGACCAATCGTGGAATTCTGTACCACGTTCTCCTCCCTCTACACCCAAAGTTGCAGACTCGCAATTGAAAGCGTCCAACGCTCATTTGCGAAAAAAATCTTTCCTCGGTCCAACCCCCTCTATTACCGCTCCTGTTGTCAAATCCTAGGCCTCGAACCACTATGGCTTGGACGGTTAAAGTTGAATCTAGCTCTCTTGCACCGTTTGCTGCATAAGAACGCCTTTATAGCTGAGGCTAGACCAAGCATAAACTCACAACTTCGCTACAGACTTCGCAACTCCTGCAATCTCTTAGTGTGTCCCCCAGCTCACACAAATCCACGCCACTACTTCTTTCTGGTTTATTACGCTCGCATCTGGAACAGCCTTCCTGAGCAGCTGCGAAGCATCACTATTCACCATGCTTTTTCCCAGTCTGTAGACAAATTCCATGCCTGTGAAACTGCTGCCGCCTTACTTAATACTCAACTACCCCCTGACCTCCTCTACGAATCAGGTCCAGTGCGCATATGAGTTGAGCGACGTTACAGTCAGCAGGCAAGTAAAGGATCCTGTTACCATTTCTTCCCATCCTCTTGACCCGCTTTAAGCTAATAAAGGACTAAATGCCAGCTTCTAAATACGCAGCGTTACTGGCCTGGTTGTTTTCCTTTTTCCCCTGTACCAACTTGCATCTCGTACTAGTCTAGATCTTACACCGGACTACTCCGTAAACTCTGTCTAGCGTCTATTGTTCTCGTCCAAACTCTACTGGCAAAAACCAAACAAAAAGTAGCTATTTCTTCCCCAAATCACTTCACGGCTTAATCACCTACTAATTCTTACTATGCTATGTTACTGGCCTGGTTGTTTAGTCCTACCCAGTCGACGTGTGCCTCGTCCTAGTCGAGTCCCCACCCCGGGTTACTCTATCAGCTCTGTCTAGTAACTGGTGCTTTCAGTCTAACTCAAACTGATGAAAACCAAACCAAAGTCGATTTATTTCTTCATTTCATTATCAGAGCACATTCTGCGCTTATATATATCCATTTGGTGGTTTGTTCCACTAAACACTCCGACACGCAATATCGCGGAACGCTTCTGCTCGACGCGGCAGTCTACACCAACGCTCCGACGCAGTTTAGCCATGGTGCAATCGCCGTGAATATCAACATTTCAGTCCCCCCGACTCATTGACAACTGTCATTTCACTTCTCCTTCGCGACTTAACTCTACCAGCGTCTGTATTCTGCTGCTTGTTCGGATTGACTGAGTTGTCT